TTTTAAGTAGATATTTAAGTTATTAATTTATCTTATAATTACTGTTTAAAGTAAGAACATTATTTTAATTACTTCTCGTGCTCGTTTCAGACAGCACAGCCATCATTATAAATACTATGTCTACGTTAGTACTCTTATTAGTTTGTGACTATGTCTATGCTTACGTTAGTACTCTTATTAGTTTGTGGTCTGTGCTCTATTAGTTTGTGCTCTGTGCTCGTTGCTTTAGTTAGCTATGGTCGAGCCGTGCCTTTGTTTTTATAGGAGCTAGGAGCTTTGGCGGGTACTTGATTACTGTATATAACTTGACCGTCAACGAATTATTTCCTCTGTTTTACTGTTTAAATAATGGTTAGAAGTAGATTTTGGTACGTGAAACTGATGTCATTTAATTTATTAAGTGTCTGTGCATATGAACCTAAAAACCTTTAGTTAAAACAACGAAACAAGTACATACTTCGAAGTTGATGTAAACTTCAAACTATTTTGATTGTTTAGATACCTTTTGAACTTGAGTGTCTATCGTCATCACTGACCTCTATATATACAAGTACATATACAAATACGCTGGACTGGCTATACACCGTGACATGCTGAAGCGATTTCATTTCCGCCATTTTGGCGCTGACAGCAGAAGTGCACGTCCACGGAACTAATAATAGGGATAAGACAGTGTACCAAATTATATCGATAAAAATTCTATACCCTACCTATACCTAAATAAATAGAATAGACTCTATGGATAGATGGACTCTACCCGTAACGTCCATTCTATTTATGTATCATATTAATATAATGCCATTATCATTCATCATTATTAAAACCCTTCACAAGTCCACTGCTGAACATAGGCCTCCCCCAAGGAATGCCACAAAGCACGGTCTTGATCTACCTGCATCCATCAACTTCTTGCATGTCTTACGAGTTTTCGACTCCATCTAGTGGAGGAACGTCTTACACTTGACCTGCTGGTACGAGGCTGCCACTCGAGAACCTTTTTACCCCATCGGTATTCGGTTCTTCGAGCTATATGGCCGGTCAATTTCCACTTCGGCTTACTAACCCATTGGGCGATGTCGGTCACTCTGGTTCTGCTGCAGATATCCTCATTCCTAAGTTTGAATCCCTGAGTATAGCCCCCTTCATAGCTCGCTGAGCGACTTCGAGCTTCCTCATACAGCTAGCAGTGAAAGACCTCGTCTCAGATCCTTAGGTCATCACTGGCAACACGCACTGGTTGTACTATCTAGTTTTGAGGTATTTCTGACGAGAAGATGTGTTGTAATCTCCCGAACACTGCCCAGTCGAGTTAAATACGTCGATTGACCTGTCGGTCGAAGTTGAACTTACCTAGTCGGACTATTTTTCCCAAGTAAAAATACTCGTCAACAACTTCAGCTAAGTGCTCCCAAAAATCACCCGCATAGGTGTGACATGGACATTCTACATGACTTTTGTTTTGTCCATGTTCATTTTAAGACCTATCCGTTGGGAGACACGATTGAGGTCATTGAACATAGTGCGTAGGTCCTCCAGTGATTCTGCCTTAAGGACTATATTGTCGGCAAATCGAAGGTGAGTGACGTACATGCAATCGACGTTAATACCGTATCCTTTCCAGTCCAGTAGCTTGAAAACGTCTTCCAATGCAGCGGTAAATTATTTCGGGGATGTCTTACACATCTCTACATTTGGATTGGTTTTGTACTCTGGTTCTGTACTTGGATAGCCATCATAGCCCTTAGACCATTCAACTAAAAATTATTAAGATTAAACTAATTACACAAAATAAAAATAAAGACATAGTTTCTAAAATAATTTATTGTCAGCCGTTCATTTAGTTCCAGTATTATAAAAAACAAATCAGCTGCTATAATAACGACTATTCTAATCAACTACAGGTCTGTCTATAGACAGTAAAATATTTTCTACTATATAAAAATTTTTTGTTTGTTCGTACTTTCTACGATGCCATACCGTTCATCAAATTGCGGTCAAACTTAGTCAACTTATTGGTTGCACTTGTGCGAAGGTTATACGCAAGGTACAATTAACTGACACTTGGTGGCGTGCGTATTATACCGACTATTTATTTGAAAGTTATAGAAAGTTATATATCATTCTAATTCAATGATTGTATTATCATTCCTAATTATACAATATAACTGTTCCACATTTTTAACGATATTTCCACAATTATTTCTTCTGCGGCAGCAATGCGCCGGGATACGAGCTAGCAAGATAATATAAAAAAATATAAACTTTGAATTACATAGTTATCAGTTATTTACAAGGTCATTTTCGAAATTGAAATTACAATATTAAAAAAAATTAATGAAATTATCATAAAGTCCTACTTTCTGTGGTATCGTACCAAGAATGCTGGCTACGTGTCCTCACTGAATGGCTATACTTAGCTTTCAGGCGAGGAAACAACAAACTAAACAACTTCTTATTACCAGCAGCGATGATCAGTCGCAGACACAGTTTTTTAGGAACTACACCGCACGTGCACCCTACGGACCAATAGTCTCTACAGCTAATTGCATAAATATGTACTTATCTTCCAGATACTCTGGGCTATTTACTTTCTTCAGTTGCCTCTAATGCCACCCCTGCTTAAGACGAGGTACCCCTGAGATGGAATGCTGTCAAAGTGTTCGCAAGTAGTATCCCACACTAAAGCTTTATCTCTCTTTCTCTCTATCTCTCTCTCTCAAGCAACCAAACCCATACCGTCGGGTCTCCTGGTATCGTCTCTAAATATTCTACAAAGATCTTAAACCGAGGAAACATTTATACAGATACGAGCATGCATACGGACTCCCCGAGCCCGATATGGGAATGGAGCCAGGGAAAAACGAGCACTTGGAAGCATCAAGTGGTGCAGCCTCACCAAAGTCGGGAAAGATAGTCGAGTGGCGCATCGCCCATCGCCATACCAACACTCCTCTTCCCTTACGACTCCACCTCGACTACAGTGGTCCAGGGAGCGGAATCTCCTCTAGCCGCAGCTCACTAACACACATCTAACGTGGCTCGATATCATCAGGCGATCTTTCGACACTTGGCTATGGCCCTTGAGTTTGGTGGAAAATGAGGAAAGAAGAAATTAAAAAAAAACATTCGAAATAATAATCTAATACTTTTATACTTACTGGTTACTGGTACCAGAAAATATTGTCGGTATACTGCACTTTTTCAAAGTGGTGCAGTTCTCATGTCTAACAAAACAGTCGCCTGTAAAATGTTGGGAACAAATATGATCATTTTGTTTCGGATGCCAATTCACAATATTTATGCTTTTAAGCCATAATTTTATTCTAGGTTCAGTTGGAAACCTGTTAATTAATAAACATTTGATAATCATCCGTTGTTGACGACTTTTTTTGTTAACACATATGGGTAGGAAAGAACATCGATAAGTATTATAGGCAAGGAACTCGACAAGCCTATTGAATTTTATTGTTTATCCAAACTCAGTAATATACACCCAAACATGTTGGTATATATGATATTAAGATTAGTCACAAATTTTTAAATACTTATATTATCAAATAGTTTTAATTTATTTAATATTTGCTGCAAATTAACTTACTTGTGAAATGTTATACCACTTCCCTTTTGGTAACGAGTTTTACAGATTACGCACTCTCATTATTAATAAAAATAATATGTAACCAATATTATATAAAATCAAACAACAAAATACTTTAGTATTTTAGTTAAAGGTTCAAAATACAGACTTATGAAATAAGACAATATAAATAAGACAACAGACTTTGGCATATTATGTCAATTTTATTTTTCAAGACATCCTTTAGCAGCGCTTCAACTTGGCACAGTCATTTTGTATGGTATAGCCAGTCTAGCGTACTTGTAGATATAGAGGTCAGTGATCGTCATCGACTGTCCGCTGGGTTGAGCTGTCAACAAAACATTGCAATGTGGCGCATCAGCATATTGTAAAGAAAAATTTGTTATAGAAACAAAGATCCCGTATTAAATAAAGATGTGGCTAAAAGAACAAGCATCTAAGCCAAAAATCTTAATAAAAAACATCTGACTTTATTGAGCATAGAGTAATTTGCCTAATAAAAAAGTCTGTCTCCCTCTACTATCTTTGGTTCTTTTTCACGACTGTTTTGGATAGTTTACCTACCTTGCCTAATTCGCCGATTTTTCGGTCTAAGTGCAAAATATGTCTTTTATTTAATGTTTGCGACTTATGTTATATTACGATGATGTGTAACAACTGCAGTTAAGAACAGTTTTTGTAGTAAAATTCTGTGAAACTACACACCAGCCATTTACATGAAAGGTAAGTACAAAAAATTAACACTTTGTTTTCTTTTTATGCACCAATAGTAACGTTGTGCCACCAATGTAATTCATATTCATTTTTAATAAAGCCTTCATCTTTTTAATAGCTTGTGTTATAAAATTTGAAAGAAATTTAGTATGTATCGCTAAACGACATATTATAGAGCCAAATGTATGTATATACGTAGGTACCTACTATTGCCGCTATTTTGTTACATTTGTATGTGTAGTGATTTTGTATAATACGACCAAGTTCAATACGTTTGCGAATATGACGTTTCTGTGCACGTAACTGACATTCTCACCGATGGCGTAGGCACAATATAAAATTATTGAAGTAATTTCCGCTATAATTTTAAGTATACATCAAATTTTTCGTGTATTATGTCTTGTTTGTTTTTGTCTTAAATTATTGTTGCAGTTGTTGTTATTTATATTTTTATTTTATCGGTCCCGAAAAAATCTGCGTTCATTGAACTTAAAAAAACATTTTTTAGTCTATGGTATATTTTCTTTTTATATAAAATGGAGTTAGCGGTGCAAGATTGAAGTCGTTCTTAATTGTTTTTGAGTTATCTATTACAACTAAGTTTGTTTTTCCAACTATTACATATCGAACTTGTGTCGCTTGCAATCTGATTGTAGTACAGTAAAAGTAAATACGGTGTGGTCTCGAAATGGCGGACGCGGTCCCTGTTTGTGATGTCCTAAATGAGGCGATGGAATACCTGTCAAAACTAGGATCGAATTTAAAGGTTCGGTCTGAGAATTTGAAAGAGAAAAAAATAAGGAAAGATCGATTAAAAAACACGCACGCTGTTCAAAAGGCCGCCAATAAAGTGTTATTGATTTGCGAATTATCAAAAAAGTCGCTAGATACTGTGGAAACTGGGGTAAAAAATCTTTTGTCTCATATTGACGCCTCGCAAGCCTCTACTCATTCTGGCGGGAAAATATCACGCTACTCAAAGGAATCTAATATTCCATATGAGTATTTTGAATATGAATCCAAAAAGTTAAAAATACGACAAAAAATTTCGCTTGATCATTATACATCGGTTAAAGTTGTTGCAAAACCAATGCCCCCAACTGTATTTAGTGAGTATCCTGTTTATTATGATTGTAAACTTTTACATCTAAATAAGGAAAATGCAAAACAAGTACAGATAGCTAAAAAGGTAGCAGAAGACACTGCAAAAAGATACAGCAGGGGAAGTGACAGCGAAGGTGGCGAGACAAAAGACCTTAGGCACGAGTTTATATCAGAGAATTCAAATAATATTCCTAGGGATACTTCACAACCTCATAATAGATTAGATGACTCTGTTGCAAATACCGTAGTTGACAATTCCAATAATGAAGACATTCAAGAAGGTAGCAGATCAAAAAATAATTCAAATGAATCATTAAGAGGATTATATTTAGAACTTTCAACTGAAGATAATGCAAAGGAAGGGTTAACAAATGAATATGGAAATGACAATGTTGGAGAAAATAATTATGAGGGAAATAAAATATCTGAAGAGAAGTTAGAAATAGAAAAAAAATCTGAAAATGAATGTATAAATATGCAGCAGTCCAGAAAAAAATATAAACACATTCAAGTTTTTGATGAAAGTTCTGATGGTAGCGATAAAGGAGAGGATATTAATAATAGTAAAACTACAAAACTAGAAGGAAATGAGTCCACAAACTTACGTCAGGATGATATATCTTTAAGCTTGCTTAATATGAATGAACAGAATAATGATGAAGACCAGAGAAATAGCGAGAAAGATGAAGTATCAACAGAAGTCAGTGATACAAAGAAAACATTTATAAAATGTGTAAATATAGATTATTTACTTGAGGAACCAAAAAAGGCAAACATTTCAGTTGTGGAAATTGATGATGATGATGATGAAGATGAAGAAAGTGTTGGAATAAAAATAAAAACCAAGGAGTCGGAAAAAAAAAGTGATAAGATACGAGAAAGTTCAACTAAACGGATCACAAACAAACCAAAAAGGAAACCTAAAAATATTATATTAACTGGTGAATCATCTGATGAGAATTACTGGGAAAGGAAAAGAGAAGAGGTAAAATCATTTGAACCTAAGCAGTTTAGAATAGATATCCACAGGCTACCCAATTTCTCTGTAGACTTTCTAAAAACTCACAATATAAATAAAATTGTGCAGAATGGTCGCCTTGTTTGTGATTTAGAAACTCTTTTAAAAAACTCAAGTGAGAATGGTAAAGAGAATGTAGAACCAGTGTTGTCTAAAAATCTTTTAACGGAAGAAATGGTTGATAAGAATTTAAAAGAAATTTCTAACAAAAAATCAATTTCAGAAGACTCAGGAGCTGACACCGTGCATGTGAAAAACAGCTTATTAAATGATTCCGATTCTGATAAATCTCTGAATAAACATATGGACAATGATTTGCTTAAAGAAGCAGAGAGTGTAAGAAATGCACTTCTTCATGACAGTGATTCAGATGATCATAGTGACTTAGAAAATAGGAAACACTCTGGTGTAAAAAATGATGAAAATGCTAAAAATTCTGTACCAAAGGAAGTGACTAGTGATACTGTGAGCAATCAGAATTTTTCTGAAAATCCCACATCAAAGGAAGGGACGAGTGACACTGTGGAAGATCAGAATTTTTCGAAAAACCATGAAACAGAATCCAGAGACAAATGTCCTCCATCACCTCAACCTAATGAAGACCCCAATAAAGTAAAATCATCATTATTGAATGATTCCTCAGATAGTGCTTTACAAGCTTCTAAGGAAAGTAAAAGAAATAGTGAAAAAGATACATCGCCTCAGTTGAATGAAGATTCTGAAAAAGTTAAGTCCTCATTATTAAATGATTCTTCAGATAATACTTCTTTATCATTAAATAAAAGAAAAAGAAGTATTGAAAAAGTTTCACCACATAAATCTAAAAGAAGACACATTATGGAAAGTATGCATGCTAAGAAAATGCTTCTGACTTACTCGTCAAGCTCAGATACTGAGGATGAAGAGTTAAGAAGTGCTTTGAAGGAGATTAAAGAGTCTTTACTGAAAGGAATTACTTCCGATGAAGAGAGTAAACCAAACAAATTGCAACAAAATAAAGATTCGACTTCAGAATCTGAAAAAAGTGATACAAAAGAATTAAATAAAAATAGCAGTAAATTTAACAAAACTTCATCAGCTTCAGAAGGCGAAAGAATATTTAAAAAAAGGCATAAAAGTTCCAAAAGCAAAAAGAGGCAGTTTAAGTATGATGATACGGATAAATCTGAGGCAGACATTGATGAAAATACAAATTCCAGTTCACGCAAGGTTAAGTTGCTGTAAATTATTATACTTAAATATTTAATAACTTTGAAAAATATGTACCATTATTTGCTATGTAGTAGGTAGTTAAAGGGTATGTAAATTTCATTTTTGATTAATAAGGAGTGCTTACTTGCCAGGCAGACGTTGTTCTGCCCTTTTCGGTGACACTTTGTCATGCCCTAATAAAAATACTTATTTCCACAAAAAAAAATTGTGGGTCACTCATGGGCAAAAAAACTATGTTATCTCTCAAGTTGGGCCAAACTGCATATGGTGTGCAAATTTGATTAAAATTGGTTAAGTAGTTTAGAAGTCCATCACAGACAAATAATGTGACACGTAATTTATATATATTAAGATATTAAACTTTGACCTATATATATAAGCGAAATTGAACTGACTGACTCATCACAATATTTCTAAAATTATAAACCCGATTTACACATTTTGCAATTTAGACGCTCATTAAGAACATATTTTATGATAGTCCCATGAAAAAAACAATTAATAGGTTCCAAAATAAAATATTATGCGCCCAGCGAAATGAGCAGGTATCATCTAGTTTACATATATTGAAAAGAAATTGACTTGTAAGTATATACTTTGTATTTGTTTTATTAAGGTTATATACGTAAAATGTATGAATGTTGATAAGTTTTAATAGGGCCTTAAAATGGCCTTTGAGGTTAATGATTATCTTGATTGTCATCAGATATTTCAAATTTATTGTAATGACTGATTCACTAAACATTAAACTATTGGTAAAACAGTAGTAACAATATAAAACCTCTTTATGCTCCATAAAACTAAACAGCATGAGATTAAATCAAAATATAACTAATTACAGATGGGCCATTCTAGAGCTAAACCGGGCAGTAGCAGCAGTCAAAATTCAGATACTCAGGATGCAAATGACAAAGACATTGACGGGTAAATATTTTGCTATTGATGAGAATTAAGGGATGGCTAACTTTAAACAATTTTAATCATGACTAAATGAGATTCTCCTTTGTCATTTCATCAAAAACTTAGCCCCATTAACTGCCCATTCACATCTTGTAACTTTGCCTTACATCTGATACTGAATATTTATTTAAACCATATCAAGTATTTTATGTGGCAATACAAGGTTTTATATCTTATAAGTTTGCTATGTATACATTATTATGTAGATGTCATTTACATAAAAATGTATACATAGATAGTGAGCCAAAAATAAGCTACCATAAAAAGGAATTAGTTGTAGAAATAGATTTAATTTTTTTGTAACATTTTTATTTTGATGATACATAAATATGTAGAATATATTTTCAGATCTGATTAATTCTTTTGCATATATTATTACATTTAAGATGTGAGAGTAATTGAATTATAATATACATTTGTAGATTAAAGTTATGCTGTGAATAATTAATGAATTTTGGAGTAACATAATAAAATTATTCTTGAAAAGATAATCTAAAACGCAAGTAAACTAGCTGAAATATTGTACGCTGCAATCTACATGTTTAAAATTTGTATTCAACTTTTTTCTATAGTGGTATTATGAATTTTAAGAAATGATAACATTTTACGAATTCTAAGGAGGAAATATTAAATACTAGCCTATATTGCATATTACTAAAGCTTCTGTGCAACAATTTTGTATTAAAGAGGCTATTTAGAAATATGATAGCAATATTAAATTTTATTTAATATGGCTGTCATATTTCTTATTCATTTTTTTTATTTGCTAGTCAATAAGTTAGCTTAACATAGTAAATAAATAAACTTATAGTTTAATGTATTAAGTAATTGTATTGTATGGGTAGCACTTTGTAGGAAGTAGCTTGTAAATGATGTGGTGATTTTGGATTTTTTGTTTTATAGAATACTGGATATGGTAATATAATACATATTATGCATTAATAAAGTCTAATTAACACGGCTAAGTGTTTTCTTTTTTAACTCATTAATAATTTGTTTCAATAACACAAGTGATTGGGCAGTTCAGGGTTGACAGTTTTCTTTTTTAGTACCTTTGTATTCCTTAGAGTTTTTTTTGTTTATTTATGGAAAATGCAAAATGTAAAAAACGGATTTGTGCTGGTATGTGTCTATTGGGTACATGTTGGTTTTTTAAAGAATTTGTTATTTAAAAACAAATGCATGTTACAAAAACTTTACAAAAAATACTTAGAAATATAAATAGAATTTGCATCATGGAACAGTTTACATGTCTAAGTAATATTTTGAGTAAAAAAAACCAAATTGACATAAATGCAGTTCGTTATATACAATTTTTTGTGAAATTTATTTTTATTGTATTTAATTCAAAAGACATTTCTGAAACCCAAAAACAGTGTAAATAGTTCAATCTGAACTCTGACAAACCTCCTAAATTGAAAACAAAATTAAAAAATCAAGTACCAGACGTCTACTTCATAATACTAGACCAAATTGACATATTTTCATTTCGTTATAAGCAATTTTTAGAAGAATTTATTTTTATCGTAATTAATTCAAAATGCATTTCCGACATCTCCCCCGCCAAGTCTAGCAAAAAAACGGCACGGCCGTACCATACTTTTCTCAAAGCAATTCAGGCCATTTTCAACCCCATATAACTTAGTAGTCAATAAAACTAGAAGCCTGAACGAGTAGGCATTGTGTAAACATAGTATATTTCAAATTTCATTTAATTTGAACCAGTAGTTTAAGAATTATAACTAGTCAAAGTTTCTTAATTTTGTCACTCACTGACTGACCGATCATCAAAACGCTAGGGCACTTCCAGTAGACATAAAAGCTTCAAATTTAGAATACAATTAGTTTTTAGTGTATAAATCAAGGTAAAACTAAAATATTTGTTAATTTCGGTCTAGCTTTCTAGATACACCAACTGCATAAATAACTTTGTAATCCCATATAAATATATAGAATTACAAAGTTACATTTGCAGTGAATGAATCAGTGGACTTGTATATGTATAACAGGTGCAGATAGGTACATTGTTGGTATTCAAGAAGTAGAAGGTACCGGAAAGGTAAAAAAGTAGAACTATGTTATCTACAAAAAGAAATGAGATGCCATCAAAAACATAACTTGTAAAAAAAACCAAGTCTCGCAACTCAGTTCTTCTACCGTAAAAAGTTGTGAGATCCATGTAATATCAAGTCGGTTAATTTATTCAGTTCCTACTTAAGGGGCCTTCTGTTTTAAGTTACTACGTAATTAGCTAACCTAACACCATTTTGTAGTGACCATATCAATGTTAAAAATGTTTTATGTTTTAAATATATATAGATTGACTGGAACTGACTTGGAATAGTTTACCAACGGCGATTTTTCCGGATCGATACGACCTGAGGACCTTCAAGAAAAGAGCTCACTCCTTTCCAAAAGACCGGCAACGCACCTGCAATTCCCCTGGTGTTGCGGTTGATCATGGGCGGCGGTAGTCACTTAACATCAGATGAGTCGAATGCTCGTTTGCCCCCTCTTCTATAAAAAAAATGTTCAGCACCTCTTTGATTCTTTGAAGAAACATGTTTTAGATCAAGACCCGTTGGACGATCACAGTTATCTCCTTATGAGATGTATAATTAAAATATACTCTGACCTTCGATTAACCTCTTAGCTACCAAGCGGTCAAATTTGACGGCGGCGTTAAAGCATGAAATCAAATCGATAAAGATCAATAGAGAATCCTTAAGGACCCATTTGATTAAAACTGTAACATTCAGGGGTCAATGAATGTTAATGTATGGTATCTAAAATGAGTTTTAAAGGAATGAACCTGCAATAGTTTTACTACAATTTTTTTTTGGAAAAGTCACAACGTCTAATTCAAAAATGCATGTACATGCTATTGCTTCCCAATACCAAAAGGGTCACACATAACTCCTTTTTTTAATGAAGCCGGTATTTTATAAATAACATCACGGCATAAACTATACTTCACTAATTTATTATTTGATTATATCAAAAATGAGTCACACCAATATTTATATGTAAAACTTATAAGGAGAAATCGACAAAACAAACCCCCTTGCCAACTCTACTTACAGCTCTGCAACTTTCAGAGGTAGCTTTAAATATGTAGCTACTATATGCTGAAATGACATTCCTCCACCTTTACGTGAGTGTAATTCGAAGTTTAATTTTAAATCGCACTATAAAAATAATTTATTACACTTAAAAAAGCTCAACCATGAGCCTCCAGTGGGGATATGTTTCTTCCAGCATATGTTTATTGTTATTGTATTTATGTTCATTTTATATTTTTTTGGACTTTTATTTTTATATAGTATGTATATATTATAATGTCACCGAAATATTTTAATTAATAAAAGTAACTATAAAATATATTTCATAAACACAACAAGGCGGATCATGCACGTATTTTTGGTTTGGCAGAATCATCAGCGCTGTAGGTTAAGCTAAGTAAGTCATAATCTTTTCACTGGCTCGATACACACCCCATCATTTGTAGTCTTAATCTTCCATACTTTTAACCATCTTTATTTATTTATGTGATGTGCATAGTTTCAGTGAATAAATGTCTTTCTTTCTTTCTAATGTGATAGCTTAATAAGTATGGGTGCGTTTGGCAGAAAAAAGCGCTAGCAAGCGCTTACAAGCGCTGAAATAGTTTTCGGCCAGGACACGATTACCACTTCAGTAGCGCTGACACAATCCGCCATTTTGCTTATTTAATTTGTTTGTTTTGAAGTAGAGTTTATAAGTTGTTTTGTGCAATATTAGTTTTAACATATAACATAATATAAACACTCACGCCTGTCACCCAGAGGGGTAGGCAGAGACTACAGACTTCCATTTGGCACGATCCTGACACACCTCTCTCGCCTCCTTCACATCCATACACCTACGCATACATGCTCGTCGGTTAAGGGTACTCCTAATTTGGCCCGTTTTCAATAAATCGCCAATTTGGTCGATAAATTTTCGCCTAGGACGTCCCTTTCCGACTCTGCCATTCACTTCTGCAACATAAATTTTCTTTGTCACTCTTTCCTCATTCATTCTTTCCACATGACCAAACCACCGAAGCATTCCTTTCTTAATCCTGGTCACAACATCATCTTGCAAACCACACTCTTCTCTTATTACACAATTTCTTACCCTGTCGTTCAGATTCAGCCCTAACATACTCCTTAAGGACCGCATTTCTACTGCTTTGATTCTACTCTCGTGCTTCTTCTGCCACACCCAACTTTCACTACCATACGTTAAAGTAGGGACCAACACAGCATTGTGAATTGCCATACGTGCCTTTTTCGACACATTTTGACTCTTCACAATAGAGTGCAAGGCCCCATTTACTCTATTTCCCGCATTCACTCCTCGTTCTATATCCTTATCATATCTCCCATCCCTGCTAAATACGCAGCCCAAATATACAAACTCATCTACTTGCTCGATCAACTCCCCTTCTATTCTTATTTCACAAATCGTTTTACTTTCTTCTCTTTCAAAAACCATAACCTTCGTCTTACTTGCGTTCACTTTCATACAGCTTTCTTTTAATGATCTGTTCATTAATGTAACCATCATTTGCAACTCGGCCGCCGACGACGCAAGGATAACTTGATCATCGGCGTACAAAAGGCATTTGACGGTTAACTCACCCATTCTTAATCCGCATTCTTCAACTTTCAAATTTTGCAAACAACTGTCCATAAATAGGTTGAACAGCCACGGGGAAACCACACAGCCCTGTCTGACACCTTTATGGATGTCAAACCAGTCCGAGTAGACCCCGTTGATCCTAACACAAGCACTAGAGTCTCTATAAAGAGACTCCAATGCCCGTTTCAAGCCAGCGCTCAACCCAAATGAGTTCAGTGTTTGCCATAGCACATCCCTATCCACTCTGTCATAGGCCTTTTCCAAGTCCATGAACGCACAAAAAACCTTTTGGTTTTTGGCCAAAAACTTCTCCGCGATCATGCGCATTAGTTTTAAGTAATATAATAACGTGAATAAACATATACATGTTATTATAAATTCATGATTGGTAAGTTTTTAATATGAATACTTTACAAACATATATTTAAATTAGGTTAGGTTCCCCGGTTAAAACCAACATCGTGTCCTGGAGGAAAATAGCTACTTACGATTTGACAGCGTTTACCGCTTACGATCGCCATTTTGCTTACAAGCGCTTGCTAGCGCTTTTTTCTGCCAAACGCACCCTATGTGTTAACTAAGCATTTGGGTTGGGGCCAAGAAGAGTATTTTATAAGTATTTCTTAGAAATGAAATGACCTTACTTGAAATTTGAAATAAACAGCCAAATGTATAGAAAAATTGTTGCACTTTAAGAAAATTGTTAAAAGAGGCAATCTTAAGGTCTATCTAGATTGAATCAAGATTACCATCTCAATGGCGGTTGTATGTCTTAGGGGATAAAGGTTGCTTTGGACATGGTGCCTTACTAAGCTGTCTCCCAACAGATAAAATAACTAAAGAATAATTCCAAAAAAGTTATGGCAAGTAGTGGTTCTATAACTGTTACACTAAATGCTAATGCTAGGTTTCTTGTGTGGTTATTCTAGTTTTGTAATCCTTCATCATTTTTTATATTACTTGCATATATTAAAGAAAAGTTTTTAAAGTTGGGTGTGACGGACGAAGCATGAGAGTACAATAAATGCTGCAGAAATGCAGTTAAGGAGTATGCTAGGCTTGAATCTGAATGACAGGATGAGAAATTGTGTGATAAGATAAAAGTGTGGTTTGCAAGATGATGTTGTGACCAGGATTAAGAAAAGAATGCTTCGGTGGTATGGTCATGTAGAAAGACTGAACGAGGAAAGAATGACAAAGCAAATCTATGTTGCATAGGTGAATGGCAGAGTCAGAATAGGACACCCTAGACGAAAATTTATCGACCACATTGGCGATATATTGAAGACAGGCTAGATTAAGAGTACCCTTAACCAATAAGCATAGATGTATATGAATGTAAAGGAGTCAAGAGGTGTGTCAGAATCGTTCCTAATGGAAGTCCGTAGTCTCTGCCTACACCCTCTGAATGACAGGCGTGGGTATTTATGCGTTTTATTTATATTTGTAATTCAAAATAATAATTTGGTTAAGGGGCTCATATAAGTTCACCCACTGACCTCTATATATACAAGTGTATATATAGAGGTCAGTGAGTTCACCGCATTTTGTAGTGTAAAGAAATAATTTGATATTGTTTAACTGGTTTTACCCCTATTTTATACTATGATGACAAAATCCTAATTTATGAATAAAACTTGTTACGGAATTTTGAATTAAATGAAATGTAAACAAACTTTAAAAATAGTAATAAATTAAAGTATCTCGCTTATAATTACTATATGTAAACAATAAATAATATTTAAGAATTATATTATCTCTATAGCTGACTTTTTCTTTTGTCGCATTTAGTGAAAATAGAGAGATTTAAGCACTTTTTAAAAACTTTCTCAATAATGTACATAGGTGTGCAAAATACAAATTGAAACCATAATTTAATATGGTTCTCATTATTGTATAGGACATAATAAAATATAGTAAATGGATACAAAAGTATAAAAAGGTTTGATGTTTCGAAACTTTTATGTTCGAGACATCGTAGTCTCTCTTATATAGGACAAACAAAAAGATCAATAAGAACCCGCTTAAAAGAACATATAGCTGATGTGAAGCATCAACATTCCGGGAAGTCCGCAGTTTGTGATCATATCCTAGACGGCTCCAACATTCATATTTGGTAGACCACAAATCCTCGCGAAAGAACACCGATTCCTACCAAGGATGATACGTGAGGCTATTGAAATTAAAAAACATCCTAATTTCAATAGAGAAGGAGGCTGGGTACTACCACCTGCTTGGGATCCTATAATCAATAAAATTAAAACTAAGCCCAAGCATACCACTGCAAGACCTCAGGACATAGTCAGTTCATTTTGCATAGATCGGACCATAAACAATAATTAAAAAAGCTGAAGGTACTCCGTGTTTAACAATGACATTGGGACGTCAGTCACCTCAGTCCCCCGTGACCACGGATGCTGGAAAGCACCCGCAACGTCGGGAATTAAAAATAAAAATAATTAAAAGTAAAATTAAACGCGATAAAATCCGTAAAAGTAGTTTTAATCAATCAGCAGTGATCTTATGAAGCTCTGTAATGATGATGACGATGATTTGCAGTTCCTACTCACTAGCAATTAGACTGCATGCTTGCCTTTCACCCCATACAAAATGTCCCTATTCACCACTTGATTAACTTCACTTTAAACATACTCAATTCCAGACTAACGAACCTAAACACGCTGAGCAAGACGCGTCGCCGGCGTGGTTCAACGTCATCCGACCACACTGCAGATACAGCGCAGACGAGCTCTATTAAAAGTGACGATATGCCCAAAGTGCCTCGAATCAAAGCCGAGAGTCTTCTCAAAGCTGAGAGCAGTTCCGACGCAGCGTCGATAGCGGGCAGCGAGGAAGGGGAAGAGGCTGAAGGTGATTGACTCATTTATTAAATTTTTAAGTATAACATGTACAAGTAGAGTATTCAAATATCATTATAACATAGCTTAGAAGTTAGAATGTAACACAAGTGGTAAAATAAAAGTTTTGTACAACAGACTTCAATATAAATAAGATGAGAACATCATCAATGTAGTCAAAGTCAGTTAAATGCATATTATTAAGGATAACTCAAAAACTACTGGTCAGATCTTAATCAAATTTATATGGGACCATGGACATGAGAAGCACCAGCTTTCAAATAAAAATAAAAGAATCACAAAAAATACAGTTGAATTTAGTATTTCCTCTTTTTTGAAGGTGATTAAAATAATCTAGCAGCTAATAAAAGATAAATTATTACTTCTTATAAAAATAATTTCTGCCTTGAACAAACTGATACTAACCGACATAAAAAGAGAAAAGCGTGGAACAAAGGTACAAACAAAATTAACTCTTTCAATTATGTAGCTAAAATTGTCCATTATTTGTTATGTATCAATATCCGTGTCTGCACTTCCGGCTACCTTACTTGCATGGAGGGGGCACCTCACCACTGTTTTTGCTTTTTTATTTAAGTAGCGATGAGCACCAGGTCTCGTCATTATAGCGTTGTTTTTCGCGCCTTTCACAAGTCAGTCTTTGTAAGCACGAAAAAGTTTCAATTTTACTAAAACTAAGTGATAAATAACTACCCTACTGATAAAATATGGAGGAACAAAGTGTCGACGAAGTTACATTATTAATATTTCAAAAACGTGTGCGTTAAAAAAAATATCTATGGCCCGTACCAAACCAGTAAAGCCACCAATTTGGAACCTTCAGTCATTTCTTGAAATGATACAATAACAAAATTATGTACATTTGTAATTGAGGCACTTTTTGAAGCATTTTTTGAAGCAGATTAGTTTAATAATCGACCAATTTTTGCTACTTTCTGTGGTAATAACTACAAGGATTATTATAATTGATTTTTGGTTCAAAAACATCCATTGGTTAACGACAATTTCAACTTTGGCAATCCTGCTGTACATTGATTAACTTAGAGGACATGATCATGGTCAACTGTTATACTTTTTTGATTTAGATTCTTTCCTTATCGTAATCTCTCACAGTATTTCCCCCACAGTAAGGACATGAGTTTGTCCTCTTTAAACAAAAAAATGAAGGTGGGGGGGGCCGTCACTCAAAAATAAAAGCTATAAGTAGATGTGGGACACCAACTGCAAAAGTGTGGTTAATCCGAGGATATACACTTCAGTCTGATGATGCATATATTTTCGGAAAGAGCTTTTTTGAGACGCCGCGAGCGACACCTTCAATTCCAGCTGCAGACTCCTGGTTCGCGAATTCATGTACTCCGTGGTTTTAGGTTTTCCTCTAATAACTCAGGTGTCCTTTATCCAAAAATTCCAAATTTTTGGAGAATGATGTGTACCCTGGTGGCGCACAAAATAGCAGGTAAACAAAAAATAACATAAAAAATAGCAGGTTGTGGCGACTAATCGAGCGCCGCACGTGATTTACTGTTTTGCTAATATTAGAAAAGACGGTTTTTCACTTGAAAAATCACAAAAAACTGTTTTGCGGCTAAAAAAAATTACACCACTAGATGCATTTCGTTAATACGCAAATTTTAACACTAAGAACACTGAAATCCGTTAATTTTTTACCATCTTTCGAATTTTTAACTGCGGGAGCGTCACAGTTTCGTTGCGTTCCACACTTTGCTTCCTTGTACGCTCGAGGAGTTCAACTGTTTTATTTTTATGGAGTGACGACCTGGTAAGATATGCAGGAAGTCGATGGATGCAGGTGGCTCAGGACCGTGCTTTGTGGCATTACTTGGAGAGGCCTATGTTCAGCAGTGGACTTGTAAAGGGCTGTAATGAATGACGCTCGGGGATAAGTTTATCTCCTATTTTATCTACTGTCAATATTATATCCACCATAGGCCCATGCTTGCAGGGCTTATAGAACTCTGGCATAGGGATAAGACAATTTTATCTCTTGCAATATAATCGGGGATAAAATTTTTGTCTCTTGCCCATGCTAGCCCGGCTGGATGTCAATATTTATTTATTTTATTTATTTATTTAACATATTATACATGATATAATATGGTACAACATAAGCTTAATGAAAACTTTACCGTGTACCACAAGCCGCCGACATTAAAAATTTTACATATGAGCTACACCTTAATCTACAAAATATGTTTAATGCAACACTACTAAACACTAAACGGCAATTGGCATGGTCAACACGCGGTAAATCGGCAATACATATGTAGTTACCTAATAGCGCACAAGAAAGGTGTGAGTCTTGCCACCGCCCACATCACCGCGTCAAAAACCGGTCATTCCTATACTAATAGTTAATCTTTTCCTTTTAAAACATTTTTTTTTGATATTTTTTAAACTTTATTTGCATTTTAGCCTCTTCGTCCTCAACATCATGTCTTCCAGATAATATTCTATTTATTACTTTACAATAGTTAACAAGTCATGAAATGAATGACAGTATTGATTAAATATTCAACTGTTTTATTTTTATGAAAGACACATTGTATATAATCAAAATCTATTAGAGATACAATAGAAGTCTTTAAAACTTCTTTTAAGTAGAGCTTCAAAGTTATCTTTAGAAATATGATTTATAATGTCCTGTAAGTTTGAAATTCGATCTATTAACTTATTACTGGGAGAATAAAACCATTATCGACCTGCATACTGTATTCCATTTGATCATCACTAGAAAAGACAATATTATATGTAATATTGTCTTTTCTAGTGATGAATATGTAGAGCATCACTAGAAAAGACAATATTACATTTAGAGCAATTTTTCCAAAAAATAACCACTGACATATTGTAGAGATGCAATACTCTAGGGTCTTTTTTATCTCTACACTTTCTAAAGGAATGTCTAATATATTTTATAGATTAATGATGGTTGACGTGGTTTTAGGCATTTTCGTTGAGTACGAAAAAGTATGACTACATAAGTCATGTTCACAGTTTTTTCCTTGGGTGTGGACACTGCTTAAATAGTTGATTAAAAGCGTGGCGAAAGCCGATTCGAATTGATCGCAAGTAGGGTTGTTGTTGCGATAACCATGGCTTCTCACCGCGCTAAAGTAATTTTTTAATGGATCTTGATTCTAACGCCGCAACCATACTGACTATATAATATTATGTTTACCTTTAAATTTATTTCACAATATTTGAATTCCTTTCAGTGTCCACACCCTATTAACCACAGTGGAAACAGTTTCTTTTTTACCACTAGCAGTTATGAATGACATTGTTTGTAAAATTGGTATGCCTTAAACCCACGTTTTATGGTGTACAGAGTTAGGTGTTACTGGACCAAGTAAGGGCTTAGCGTATTTGTTCTTAACATTACTTTCATTGACTGAATCAAATATGTTATCCATGAAAATTAGAAGATCCGCCGTGTCCTTGCATTCTGTGGGCAGTATGTCCTTATCTGAAACAAGAAATAAAATAATATAATAAAATATAATATTAATAAATAAAATAATATAATAATAAAATTCAGCTTGTCTGGCAGATTTCAACACAGAGGATGTTGTGAACATTCTTCAATATTATATTTAAATGAAATTAATTAACGTAGATATGCACTAACTATATAAAAAAGAAACTACAAATGCGTTAGCAATTACTCTAATTTATAAAAAAATAAGGAGGGAACGACAGTTGCTGTGTAGTAGCGGCGTAAATGAATCCTTCACTCCTTTACGTACTGGAGGTGTAGTAAGAGGCGACTATGGGAAACACCAGAAAATGTAATGTCTTTCGTTCGTTTATAAACAAATCGGTTACGTCAGAGCCAGATATAAAATCATTGCAAAGATGTCGGTGTTACGTTTTAAGCGAATTCGTGGGATAAAACACTTCATCTACATCATAATTCATAACCGATCGTAATATGTGTCTAGCATATTCTTCTTCTTTTCTCCACCTGATGGTAAGTGGATGCCGTGGCCCATACACATCTACATTTATCCTGATTAAGAATCAAAACGCAGATGCGTTGTCACCCTTGAGGACGTGGATGGAATGCCTCGTTTCCAGTAAAAGAGTGTCTCCGGATCTCTACACTCACCATACGAAACACAGCAGTATTAAGCTGCTATTTTACGCTGGTATTCTGTGAGAGCGTGGTCCTTCCCCGGTCGAGCCGACCCATTCGTGCTACAACCATTATATAGCTGCAGCGTGGCTCTAGCACGTATAAATTTGCCTTATCGTTATTCTTGGAAGAGTATTGACGACCGCAGTTCACATCTGACGCTGCTGCCCGTCGCCAGTTATGTATTTTGCGTCTGACATAAACACGATGGTTATAGCGCCATCTGTCGAAAGTCATATTTTTGTGCTATTTCCCACAGTCGCCGTTCACGACACTGGAAACGACTTGGGTTTTAAAGAAACTAATAACCTAAGGGAATATATGCCATAGTTGACATACCTGGTAGGCAGGTTAGCAAATGTAGCTTTTTTATTTTTATTAAGTTGTTTACGAATATTTGACGTTATATAGACATTGCTGTCCTCCTGGTTTAGATTCCATCTGTTACATTTTATGACTGCTGACATAGCCCAGTGGTTCAGTAAGCTGAAGTGGTAATGGACCGTCCATATAGCTCAAAGAATCAAAGAAAAGAAGAAAAAAGAAGATGGGGAAGAAAGGTTCTCGAGTGGTAGACCCATACTGGCAAGCGTAATGTTGGTTGACCCTCTACTTGATGGTGTGAAGACCTGATGAAACATGGATGTAATCAAGGCCTATGTTTACCAGTGAACTTGTAATGTTCTGCAGTTAATAGTAGTATTGGTAGTAATAGTAGTATAGTTATTTCGCTCAGTTATATTGTTTTATTATGGTTGATATTTGTATTTGTTTCAGAAATACCAACGGTTTCAATGTCGGCTATCAACGGAGACGGAATCCCACACCTGGCTAAAGATGATTTGTTAGAGGAAAGTGACTCTTCAAGCTCGCACAATGAAAAAGCCTCACAGGAGGTATGAATTTACTCCATTTTATTTCAAACATGTTTGATTTAATTTACCTTTTGTTCTAAGCTATAGTTTCTGTATATTTTTTTATTATGACTCGTCTTGAATGACTTTGATGACTAATCTTGAGTAGCCATGCCGTAAGTTTGGCCTCAAAGTCAGTGTCACAAAGTCCAAACGGCTCCCATTCTGACTATTTACGGATCCAGCTCAATCAAGGCATTCTAAAATCTGTAGAAAAGTTTAAGTAGTTGAGAAGCATAACATCTAAATGTGATCTTGAAGAAATTAATGGAAGCATTAGTGCTGCATCGTATACTTTCGGAAAATTGAGATCCAAGTTTTTCCGTTTACGTGATCTCAACTAGAAGATAGCAGTCTATAGAGCGGTGGATCTGCCAAACCTTTTATATTCTTCTGAGTATTGGTGTTAGTATCGAAGGCACATTTGAATTCTGTATAGATTCCATATTCAATGTCTCCATAATATCATGGGTATATGTTGGTCCAACCATGTCAGGAATACGGAATTCCTAAGCCGAGCTAACATCGGTGGCATGGAGAAGCTCGTGATGCAGCAGCAAATTGCGTTGCTGTGGTCATGTGTTGCGGATAGCTGACAACGGAAAGGCAAAACACGTCATGTACTTCTAGCAAGCGTCAAGCAAGCGCAAACAAGGCGGGCAGCTCCTAAGATATATGGATGTATTAAATAGGCACATGAAAAAATGCAATATCGAGCCCTCTTCTTGGGAGTACCTTGTTAAAAACCGCCCAAAATGGAAGTGTTTTGTGAAACAAAACACTAACATCTTCAAAGCCATTCGTGCGAGGTCTAGATACTAAACGGGAGGAACTTAAAGGCCGACAACGTGCGGCTATACAATATAATTACTGCGATGGTGTTCTCACCTGCCCTAAGTGTGCTCGCACTTTTCTCGCCAGGATCTGCTATGCTATAACTACGGTCAACGAGAAGCGATACCAAATGTAAATAAAACCAATGCAAGGTTATTAGGAATAGCGGGGTTGCGTAACTTTTTGATAGTTAGATTATATATTTAAGTAGACAATATAGTTTTAAAAAATATCTAGCAAACAAAAAAAAATAGACTTTTCATAAGTTTTGTTATAATTTGAATTATTGTATAATGCCGATTTAAATTAAATAAATGCTTTCTGCGCCATCTCTTTTCTATATTGGTATTTATCATTAGGCCAAGTTTCTTTAACATATTTGCAGGTATTAATAACCATATTTTTTTCATACACAGTAAACCTAGTTACCTAAAATTAAAAATTAAATTAAAATGATATACATACTTTACTTACATGGAAAAGTTTTATTATTACAGTTGCTGTTTTTAAATAACTTTATGATACCTTTAAAGTACACTCCGAACCAAGAAGTTTTAATTAAAACTATTAAACAACATTCATATATTATATCCTATTCCTATACATACTGTTGGACTTTTCTTTTTCGGAGAAGTAAAATCTGTTGATTTATCTCTCGACGTACTTGGTTGTGGCTCCATAATTAACCACTCTTAATAAAAACAATTATCAACAAAACAAAATAACAATAATTAAATAAACAACAATTACTAAAATGGCCGAATGTTGGCGAACCCGTCTTGACCCTGACATGTTTTTGACGGTAAAACGAGACATTACGACAAATATATAAGACGGAAAGAGATTAATAATAGATTTGTCAACTCCACAGTCGTTTTAAGGTAAATGACCTTTCGTATTGCTGCTAGATGGCCGTATTATAGTCACTTGCGAACACATGAACGGGCGGAGCAGTAAAACTTAAATATAGGAGTCAAAAATGTTCGCTGAAGCCGAAAGCGGCTTGGAGATATGGTGTGATATATTTTTTTAATATGAGTCAAGAAAATGCGAGAACAATAAGGAAAAGCTATATCAATCATAGTAATGGTACTAAACGATATCAATTAGAATGGTGTAACTCTAAATTTTTTAATGAAACCATGTGCTGTTATTGAGTTGACAGTAATCCTGGATTTAACATAAAAGTAAAAAATTACACTCTCCCTTTTATTTCTTAAATGGTTTTATGCATTTTTAATATTTTTTTGCAGGAAAGCAAAAGATCTGATACTGAAGAGGAAGATAAGTAAGTGTTAGATTTGTTTAATGTAACCTTACTTGCTTTATTTGTAATAATATTGCAATTAAAAGTTGTGAATTGTACAAAATACATGGGCTTATTGACATGGGGCATTTCACCTTTAAATACTCAATTACTAAGAAAATAATCCAATGTTGTCCTGCAGTGTCTTAACAAGGTAGGGTCAGTGTCACTGCGTCTATCTTAAAAAAAATCATCCCACACGAGGATTTTTTTCTGTTTTGTGGAGCCATTTTACATACAGAAATTGCTCATGATCTCTTCGTGTTAGGTCCGTAAAGAAACTATTTGTAGGTTTTACAAACGCTTTTAGGCCATACCAACAACGCTGCAGCCACACATTTAGCTACTGTGCTACTGAGCCATCAAAATCGCCTATCAAGTATTACAATCGAACAAATCCAGGGGCGGATTGTTCAGGCTTTAACTTTGTTAAGTAATCACTTACAACAAACTCGACACTAGCTAGGGTGACAAACTTGTCAAATGTAGTGATGAGAGAGAACTCTCTTCCATCCCCACTTTTTTTAATTGAGGTAACCTGCTCCAAATATACTTAAACCATCGATAATCTCCTCTGTCAGCAAAGTCTCATAACTAATTTTTGAGAGTATGGCAAAATAACACACCCTGATGGGAGTTAACGGACCTCAAATATGTTTTAAATGCATATTACAAATCGTTGATAATTTTTGACAATGTAAGCAGATTCTTTAGCGATCATATAACGTGGCGTGACTGCGCTGCTGCTCAATTTTCAAGGGCTCATAGTATTTTTAAGAAAAGTACTTTGCGAACTGTAGTCAAAACTTTGTATGAATTTCTTAAAGGCCTCTTAGGAAAGTGTTAACTATCAGAAAGGGAGTACTGGTCATTTCACTCGTCTTAATTGTCACGCTTAGCAAGCGAATTGACAATTGCGGTACAGGACATCTAGCATTTTTGATGCTGCTGCCTGTTGCGATCTAGTTATATTTCACACTTGTGAATGAGATGGTTATTATTCCGCATCTGTCGGAAACCCTAACATATTTTTATCATTTCTTGTAGTTGATTTTTACGGCACCCACGAGATGAAATGATACGATGGATTCTCTTACGCAATCCTCACAGGTATAAAGTACCTGATAGCCTTGAATAAATAATATTTAAAAAGGCGAACACTTTGGTATGGCAATTACAATGAATGTTTCAATGCCTACGAAGTACTATGGCTCCCATGCCATTTCTTTCCCTTGGGTTAACTATTTTATTGGGACGTCGAACCTATTTTACTGGAAACGAGGCATTTCATCTTAGTCCTCATGGGTGACAACGCATCTGCATTTTGATTCTTAATCGAGGATAAATGTAGATGTTTATGGGCCACAGCATCCACTTACCATCAGGTGGACTATGTGCTCATTTGTCACCCTTATTCTATAAAAAAAAACACCTCAGGTCCCCGCTTACCTTGGGTGCTGCAAATTACTCGCAACGTTGGGAATATAAAATAACTTAATTAAACACTATAAAATTCGTAAAAATCTAGTTTCATACAATGTATAGTGGCATAAATGTAAGAAATCATTGCTATGACTCCGTAATACATTAAAGTTTATTCGCCGTCAGCGTTAAGTTGAAGCGTCGTAAAGCGCACGCCATCTCGTCGGACTCTGAGGCCGGGTCGTCGCGGCGTCGCGAACGCGGACGCAAGCTGAGCGACTTCGAGGAATCGGATGATGACGGCTCAGAGCCTGCCGTCAAGAAGAAGCGCAAGAAGAAGCCCAGCGACAGCGACGACCAATCTTCCGACGATAGCGGGTGAGAACTCATGTCTTTAAAATACAATTCCACACCGCAGGGTAAGTAGGTAAAAGTTAAATAATATGTACTGGCAATTTATTAAGGTTAGTAAAAATTTGGGAGTATTCATGGATAGGCAGATATTTTAAGAACCTCAACTGGCAGGTGTAAACCACCACAAGGTGTTTTTTCACCTCTCCTATAAGACTCCACCCCAATTTACCTTAAAAGCGTTTAGTTTCTTTAGCTGTCTGGTCATGGGGCATTGCAACATGGGTATTTCTTCGAAACTCTTCAGTTAAGGAGAACTAACCATTCCACTGATTTTTTTGCCAACTCTTTCAGTGTGTGGGCTAAACTGTGGACTTTTCTTCCTATTCCTATCTACCATGCCAAATCCCTGACAATTCGGACTAATCCTATCATATATCTAACCTTCGATAACTTAATTTTTTATAATGATTATTACTGTATTCATATTTATTTATTAAGTTATATATGAATTTTAAACGGGGTTATTATAATACACCCATATATATTTATATGCATTCACACATATTATATGTTATATTGAATGTAAGATAATAGTTTATCTAAAATATGCAAATATATATAATTGATATTTATGTGATTCATTTTAATGTGCAACTTTCGTCAACGACTTTTGGTTTGCCTTGACGAGATCGCATTTAGCAAAATGCTCACTCTTCGCCCATTGGACAACTCATATATAAGACGCATATTCCTTTATTCTTATATATCTGACTGCCCCAGAAAGAAGGCAGCTTTTTCCTCGTGTACATATGTACATATGTGTATTTCTTTGGCTTGCTCTGTAGCTTTAATGACTAATGTATTTTATAATATTAAGATCGTTAAATTCGTCTTTGTTGTGGAGTTGAAAGGTTCTAAAAAATTTATATTAACTCTACCTGTCTCATATATAAAAAAATGTTCAGGAAGAAGAAGCGACGTCGTATCAAGAACGTAGATGACAGTGACGCGTCCGACTCCGACACGGAAAATGAAGGTCGAAATAAGCATGGCAGGAAAAACATTCGGAAGGTGGGTTCAAAATATAGATAGTATATGGCGAACATAAGCGTTTTTTTAAACAATAAGTTATAAGTAAATTTCATGCCTTATTAACCTTATTAACAAAGAGTATTTAACATTGTAAAATGGATATTGTCAAATTATTGAGTATATAAAATCTAGAAAAGCCTCACCAGGCCTTTTCGTTACTAATTGACATTAATATAATAATCACTTTGGTGTATTATGAGCTGTGGTATCTCGTAAATTATCATTTTGATGTCAACAAAGTTAGTAAATAGACCTGCTGGCAACAATTAAATCAAAAATTTGTCAAGATGTTTGCTTTGCTATTATGGTAAACCCTTAACGTATTTGTCAATTGTAGTTTTTGCTATTGATACCTTTAATTTTTAATTACTGTTTTTAGGTTATGGGTAAAAACCAACTTGAAGAAGCAACCAAGAAGGCAGCGCGTGAGGAAAAAGAGAGGATTGCCCGAATTGCAGAAAGGCAAAAGATGGTGAATATTGAAATTATTGTTAGAATGTATATTATAATATTAGTTTTTATATTTTTTCACAAAAACTATGCTCCTAAATAAATTTCTACTAAGAAGGGTTTATATTTCTTAAATAATTCATTTTTATCAATACTCAGCAGATTTCAAATTATATTACGAAAATGTCAAATCAATAAATAATAATTCTACATAACACATGTTATTATATACGTTATTATTTCAGTACAATAACCTGGAGTTCGATGAATCTGGTAAACCTGATGAAGTAATTTTGGAGAAGGTGGTCCTTGATTTTGATCCAGAGACAAAGGAGCCGCTGATTGAAGTTGACAGGGGCCTTGTAAAGAAACTTAAACCACATCAGGTTATATTAGAAATTAATTTTTTCTTTTTCTGTATTGTTGTTGTAAGTTTATATCAATAACTAAACTGAGTATGTATAATTGATAGAAAGTTCTACAGATGAAAAGAACTAGCTACCAGAAGTATTACAATGTTTTTGGAATTCATAATAGTAAAATCAAGTCTTATATGCAATTTGCAGTACATCAGTCATTAGCCTCGACTTGGTGTTAGTATTAGCACAGTTTAAAGACAGTCTAACAGTTGGGAAACAAATGTACTTGTGCAGAGGTACGACAGGGGCATTGCGGGGCACTCAGTCTACTCAGTCTGCTGTACAATACGTGCGGTTGACGCGAGCGTATTTTATATTACTTATTTAACCAATTTTAAGTGCCGTTTTCGAAAAATATAATATCTATAATGGTAAATTACTGTTATAGTTATATTATATTTTTTACGTTGTAGAGCCATGCTGCAGTTATATTAGTAGTATATTTGTAGCACGAATGGGTCGGGTCGACCGGGGAAGGACCACGCTCTCACAGAATACCAGCGTCAAATTGTAGCTTAATGCAGCTCTGTTACGTATGGTGAGTGTAAAGAACCGTAGACACATCTTACTGGAAATGAGGCATTCCACCTAAGTCCTCACGGATGACAACGCATCTGCATTTTGATTCGTAATCGAGGATAGATGTAGATGTCTATGGGAGACAGCAACCACTTACCATCAGGTGGACTGTGTGCTCGTTTGTCATCCTATCCTATATAAAAAATGAGTTACTAAGTAAAATTGAATTCAAATGATGGCCGTGGTTATATTTCCCCTCATTTTTTTAAAATAAAATTTATCTGAATGCGAATACACGAAACATTTGGCAGTGCAACACCTGTAAATGTATTTTCTTATAGCAATGAAGAATAATCATTTTGATGCGTATTATATTATCCAAAATTATTTTATTTCCAAATTCGTGACAACCCCTAGCATACACGCCGCACGGTAAATACCTACACGGGCGGTGGCTTCGCCGGCCATCAAAGGAATTTCACAACTCTTAGCTCTTTAAACTGTGGTATTAGTGATATACGGGGTGGATTCCACAACTCCACTATATTATGTACTGTATTTTGCAGGTTAGATTTGACTCTAAGATTAACTCTAACTTTTTTTATTTTTTAACTCTAACTCTAAGATTTGAATCTAAGGTAGAAAATTTTAATCTGCCCTTGGCCAAATTTAAGCATTGAAAATGTGTATTTGGTATTAAGGACAAATTATGAACATATATTTTATGAGATATTGTTGTTTTTGTCAGGCGAATGGTATAAAATTCATGTGGGATGCCTGCTTCGAGAGTGTGAAACGAATTAAAAAGGACAAAGGTTCTGGATGCATTCTTGCACATTGTATGGGTCTTGGAAAGACTCTACAGGTATGTTGACAAAAATTTTACGCATTAGTTGTAACAATGGACTCATTGTTTATGATAAATGTGGTTCAAGGTGTAAAAGCAAATAAGTCAATCTTTTTTTCAAATACTAACCCTACCTCCTTGTGGTTTACCATGGTGATTGCCAGACCAGAATCTGACACAAAAAGACTGAATTTAATACCCAAAGATTGGTTTACCCCATTACAGTGGACTTTGTGATGAGCTGTAAAGATGACGTCATCGCCATTACAAGTCCACTGCTCAACATAGGCCTCCCCAAGGAATCCCACAAAACATGGTCCTGAGCCATCTGCATCCATCAACTTCCTGGATCTCTTGCCAGATCGTCACACTTATCTAGTAGAGGCCGCTCTTTATTTACTGCTATTCATAACTTTCTTTTCCATCAATAGTCACTTCAGTTTACTGATCGGTTGTGTTATATTGGTGACTCTAATTCTACTGCAGATATCTTCATTACAAAGAGAAACTCTGAACATAGCCATCTCCATACCTTGCAGAGTGACCTTGTATTAATAATGAATAAAATGTGTAGAAAAAAATGACTTTCAATAAAAACTTCTTATAATATATATTAAATAAATGTTATATATTTATTTAATACATATAATAAAAAAAATATTCTATTCTTTCAAGTCTTGGGTCATACATAACAAGATGTTTTGTAATTTGCCCATTTCAGCCCAGCAGTATTTCCCATTACAAAATTTTGTTACCTGTTTTTTTATGGAATGGCACCGAGGATGTCTGATTAGTTATTCAGTCACATATTAAATATAAATGCTACTTAATTTTCAATATATTTTGTTGCTTTAACATATAGAATAAAAATCAATGCATCTATTTAATGCTAAATCGAGTCGTGTCGGAGCTGGGCCAAGTCAAAATTTTGTAGAAGAAAGAAGAAGATAGAGTTCATCGGAGACTCATATTTGGCACAAAAATCGATACATCTCGGCACTCAGGTCTGGTGCGCCAATCTTCACGCGAATTACACTCACACATCACCCCCACCTCTTCATAAAGATGTGCAATGGTTGATGCGTACACCTTTATATGACCTGCAACATACCGTTTGGTGATTCTAAACATAATGTAACTCTTGTCGACACTACTGATCTCCGAGACTTTCTTTGGAGAGACAGTCGCTCTACCAGTGATAATTTCATGTTGCCTTATCGAGAGATTATCATGGCCTCCGTGATTTCGAATCTCAGATAATCCTGTAATATCCCAGCGCAACTTGTCTATTACTTCTTCCAGCTCTAGTATCTTCGCATTAGTTTTCGAACTAGTACTTCAGGTCTAGTCAACCGAACCTATGCCGAAGATTCCATGTAATATTTGAATGATATATTGTGAATAATGTACTCCTTCACAGGTGGTTTCGCTGACGCATACGCTTCTGACGCACAGTGAATTGACTGGTGTACATCGCGTATTAGTAGTGTGCCCACTTAGCACTGTGCTCAACTGGGTCAACGAGTTTCGCATATGGCTCAAACACACAGAGAATGAGTACGACGTTGACGTGTACGAACTGTCCAGGTTGGTTGCACTACCCTAACACTATTTAATTATTTATTTATTTAAAAAAAATATTAACAATGCTATAAACATTACTAATATTCATCTTAAACACTCGTGTAATTTACTCGTGGTAGCTTAATTTGCTTGTATATACACATTTTTAATTAATTTTTATTGTTTTTACATATGAACATTTTGATATTTGTAAATAAGTTAAATTCATCAAAAAAATTGTTATATCTAAATAGTCAATATTTGCACGCCTCAATAAGGCAGAATGTATAAGAACTTTTATGTTTTAATATTACTCTTGTAATATCTACCTACATTCTATGCAAATAAATAATTATGAATTCTACATAGTGCGCCCAATGACTAGATACCAGATACAGGTAGAGACACACTGCAGCTTTATTAGTTATAGCACGAATGGGTCGGCTCCCCGAGGTAAGACCACGTCTTCACAGAATACCAGCGTAGAGTAGCAGCTTAAATCTGCTATGTTTCGTGAGTGTAAAGAACCTTTTTACTGGAAATGAGGCATTCCATCAGTCTAGTCTCAGTCCTCAGGGGTGACAATGCATCTGCATTTTGATTCTTAATTGAGGATAAAAATGTAGATGTCTATGGACCACATCATCCACTTACCATCAGGTGGACTGTGTGGTTGTTTGTCGACCCTTATATTATAAAGAAACTATTCATAGCAATCCAATCATTCTTAATATCATAAAAAACAAAAATATTCCGTCACTAAAATATTTTGATGGTCAGTTTGGTAAAATTTTTAATTAGAATCTATCACTGTAAAGCGAATTATTATAGAACAGTAATTGGTTAAGTTAGAAGTAACGATGAATGTACAAGACATCCATGATCATTTTCGTGTTTCTATTGCCATAGATATAAACAAAACTCGGAGCGTGCGTTCCAACTCCAGCAGTGGTTCGAATCGGGAGGAGTGTGTGTGCTCGGCTATGAAATGTTCCGAAACCTGTCTGCGGATAACTCAAAGAAGTTTAAGAAGAAGATGTTGAAGAGCTTCCAGGAGAGCTTGGTTGACCCTGGTAAGATTTTCGCTTTGTATTTGTAGTAAATAATACAATTTTTAAAAATGCTAATTATTATTGATACATTCATAACTGCTTTTGATACACTAAGGCTCTTATCCACTCAAGCGTCCACGGTGACTGTAGTCCCCACAAAAATTCTTGTTAACTCTTCATGGTGACTACAGTCACCGAACATGGACTTTGCTTTCCTATAATTAAACTTACGAGAAACAACATGTGTAATAGAGGTAGGTGGAAAACAAAAGGTATAAAAAAGTCAAGTATTACGAAAAGAAAACTTTACCTAACCTATAAATACTCAAAAACTAATAAAATGTTAAATAAAAATAAATACGAAAAATATAACTATCTTTTGAAAAAGTGCATATATATAGCTCAACAAAAAACCAACTTAAAATACATTCTTAATAGTAAAAATACTTGCAAAGCTGTTTGGAATTCAGTAAATTCAAGTATAAATGAAACTACCCAAATTAATAAAATTGACGTAATTAAATTTAATGACCAAACAATTAGTAACCCTGCCATGATATGTGAATTATTTAACAATTTTTTTTATTGACCTAATTTTTTTATTGAAAATATCAATAATACAAATAAGTCTGGTAACAATTCTGCTCAACCAAATATAGATACAAATTCAAATACAATTTTCTTACAACCAACGGAACCAGCGGAAATTAAGAAAATAATCAAAGAATTAAAAAACACGAATTCAGTTGGCTACGACGAACTCTGTACCAAAATACTAAAGTCATGTGCCTGTTATATCTGTACACCACTGAGTTTCCTTATAAACCTATCATTTGTTGAGGGCTCATTCCCGGAACATCTTAAGATTTCTATAATAAAACCAGTTCACAAAAAAGGAGATGAAATAGATCTCAATAACTATAGACCAATAACTTTGATGCCCGTAATATCAAAGATATTTGAGAGAACTATGTACGATAGACTAAGTAAATTTATACAAAAATTTGGTTTCTTAACTGAAGATCAATTCGGTTCGCAAAAACGAGTTCAGTATCGATAGAAAAACTCCTGTAACTGCTCTCATGCTGGACATGACCAAAGCTTTTGATCTTGTTGACCACGAAATTCTATTAAAAAAAAATTGAAAGTTACGGGATAAGAGGTACGGCTTACACATGGCTAAGCAGTTACTTGCAAGGCCGAAAACAATGCACAGAAATCACTTGGCTAACGCAAGCACGACAAGACAGCATATTTACCAAAGAACTACATCGTTCACAGCTTAGATGTAATGACCGTGGTATCCCTCAGGGTAGTATTTTAGGACCTTTAATCTTTTCGCTATAATATATTAATGACTTGTCTAAAATAACCAATCATAAATGCATCTTGTGCTCAGACGACACAACTTTTATATTTAAATACACCAAAAAAGACATATATGAAACCGAAATAAATAATTCTATTAATACTATTGTGACATGGCTTAATTCAAATAATCTTTTACTTAATATTGACAAAACAAAAATAATTCAAATTGGGAATTACAGAAAGGGACCCTATAAATATGAATATAAAATATGAAAATTCGAACATAGAAAATGTTGAATCAGAGAGATAGATAGAATAGATAGAAAATTCTTTATTGTACTCAAACAAAACAATTTGGTACAAAGGCGAACTTAATGCCGAAAAGGCATTCTCTGCCGGCTAACCTTTTGTAGTGTGGTGAGAGCTATGGGTAGAGCCGCAAGAGAAAGAAAAACTAACTTATTTATACATACTATTCAAAACGCATTATATAATATTATGTATATGTTATGTATATACACTTGTGTATAAGTACATACATATATACATATATATATATATATATATATATATATATATTTTTTTTTTTAATTTAAATAAAATATTTACTAAACCAATAAAGCGTACAATATAGTATACGAAATTATAATAAACATAATCAATAAAATTAATCAAGTAATTTGAAATAATATGCCTCAAGCTTACGTTTAAATGTATTTATTGAAGGAGCATCTTTTAAATCTCGTGGAAGGTTATTCCAAAGTGTAATTACCATTACATTAAGTGTAATACCGTGAAGGAATCCGAGTAGTATGCAGATTTATGCATCTGAATAGTTAGAGTTTTGTTGGTCATCGAACGGGATAAGCTTAAATATGAAAAACGCTCTTTTAGATAAACTGGGGAACAAGGATTGTGAAGAATACCATACAAAGTGGTTAGAAGGTGTGTGTTCCGGCGAAAACGGATGTCGAGCCACTTAAGTCTTGAGCGAAATTGTGATATATGATCAAACTTGCGCAGGCCAAAAATATAGCGTATGCACAGATTGAGCAGACGGTCGAGTTTGCTAAGCAGCTCCTCAGTTATATCTGGACAGGCAATATCGGCATAATCAAATATAGGAAGCAACAGAGAGTTGACTAGCGTAACCTTGGCCGTCTGAGGAATAAATTTTTGCCAGAGCTTTAATGAACATAAAACATAAACACTCACGCCTGTCACCCAGAGGGGTAGGCAGAGACTACGGACTTCCATTTGGCACGATCCTGACATACCTCTTTCGCCTCCTTTACATCCATATATCTACGCATACATGCTCGTCGGTTAAGGGTACTTCTAACGTGGCCCATTTTCAAAATATCGCCAATTTGGTCGATAAACTTTTTCCTAGGGCGTCCCTTTCCGACTCGGCCATTCACATCTGCCATATAAATTTGCTTTGTCACTCTTTCCTCATTCATTCTTTCTATGTGACCAAACCACCGAAGCATTCCTTTCTTAATCCTGGTCACAACATCATTTTGCATACCACATTTATCTCTTATCACGCAATTTCTCACCCTGTCATTCAGATTACACCCTAGCATATTCCTTAAAGACCGCATTTCTACAGCATTTATTCTACTTTCGTGCTTCTTCTGCCACACCCAGCTTTCACTACCATACATTAAAGTAGGGACTAACACAGCATTATGAATTACCATACGTGCCTGTTTTGACAAATTCTGGTTCTTCATAATAGAGTGTAGTGCCCCATTCACTTTATTCCCTGCATTTACTCGTCGTTCTATATCCCTATCATATCTACCATCCCTGCTAAATACACATCCCAAATACACAAACTCATCCACTTGCTCAATCAACTCTCCTTCTATTCTTATTTCACATACCGTTTTGCTTTCTTCTCTTTCAAAAACCATCACTTTCGTCTTACTTGCGTTCACTTTCATTCCCCTTTCTTTTAATTCCCAGTTCATTAATGTAACCATCATTTGCAACTCTGCCGCCGATGACGCAAGTATGACTTGATCATCGGCATTAATGAATGCATAGTTCCAAAAATACGTCTCCTGACCTCATTAACCTGTAGCACCCGACTTAGATCGTCAGGCAACATTAAGCCAAGGTTCTTAACCTGCCTAACATATTCTAAATCTACACCGTTTAGAGTGACCTTAGGTAAATATTGATAGTCAAGTCGACATGTAATTTTTCTGCTCCCTATGATTATAACCTGTGTTTTGGCAGGATTTAATATTAGCCCATGACATCTTGCCCACTGATGAACTGTAGCAAGATCAGAATTCATTCTGTCAACAGATGAATTTAGGTCATTTAAACTAAAATGCTGATACAGCTGGACATCATCTGCGTACAGATGATACTTTCTGAAATTTATTACGGATACAAGTGCATTGATAAACACAGAAAAAAGCAACGGAGATAAAACACCGCCTTGAGGAACACCAGCAACAACGTTACACCAATCGGAGAACTTATCGTCAACACGTATACGTTGCCGGCGTCCCCGAAGATAGGAACTGAACCATTGTAGAACTGACGATGTTAAATTTAGGGATTTCATAATTGCTAACAGGATGTCATAGTCAACACAGTTATGGCGTTACTGAAGTCCAGGAGGACAAGAAGAGTGAGTTGACGATTATCCATCGCGAAGCGGATATCATCAGTTATTTTAATTAAGGCCGTGGAAGTTGAATCAGCTATGTTTTTAGGTATAAAAATTGACAAAAATTTAAACTGGAAGCCTCACATTGACCAGATTTGTACAAAATTAAACCGGTTTGTATTTGCTTTAAAAAGATTGAGAAAAACAATATCACAAAAAGCAGCCCTAGCTGCTTATCACGGTTTTGTGTCGTCAGTATTATTATATGGTCTGCCTTTGTGGGGAAATTCTGTTGATATGATTAGAGCGTTTAAATTACAAAAGAAATGTGTGCGAGCGATATGTGGTGCGTGGTTTCTTGATAGCTGCAAGCCTTTGTACAAAAAGATACGCATATTGCCGTTGCCATGCATGTATATTCGAGAAATATGTATTTTTGTAAAGCGACACCCGAACTACTTCAAAACCCACGCTGAATCTCTCGAAAGGCAAACAAGGCATAAAAATAGATTATTTCATCCCAAATGCAGCTCTAGATTTTATGCAAACAGTGCTCCTATAATGGCTATTAAAATATATAATAATTTGCCCAATAACTTAAAAAATATTTAGCCTTTGAATAAATTCAAAATTGAAATTAATAAATGGCTTCTTGACATGTGTTATTATAATGTTAAGGAATATTTTAAACCCAAACCTAAGCATACCACTGCAAGACTTCTTGATACTATAAGCTCGTTTTGCGTAAATCGGACCAAAAATTAATATTCAAAAACTGAAGGTAGCCGGACTAACTATGACATTGGGACGTCAAACATCTCAGTCCCCCCCCGTGACCATGGTTGCTGTAAAGCACCCGAAACGTCGGGAATTAAAAATAAGTAAAAGTAGTGAAATAAACGCGATAAAATCCGTAAATTTAGTTTTATTCAATGTGTAGTGTTCGCGTAAATTTAAGAAATCATAATTGCAATATTATTTAATGTATTATATAATTTATTTAATCTTTTGATATATGTACAATTAAATTTGATTATTTTAAGATATATTTGCACACCGGTACAACTCCCGGTAGAAT